TTGAATTCAATACTTTGAGAAGAAAATATTCTCAGCTTGCGATGCTTTGTGGGATGGTACCTCCCTTCAGTCTGAAATCGCGCTCTGGTTGGCTAAGCTCAAACACGTGATCAACTGGCCAATTACCTAGTGAGGGCCATTCGCAGGATTTGTGATTAATATCTACTTCTTATGACTAGGTAAGAAATAGAGGATTTTACATGGGCGCGCGGAGATACGAATTTTATCTTCTCGTGTTGAAAATCTCTCACGAGTTCGCGTGAAAATATCAATTTTACGAAATGGAGAAATATCTATAGGTATTTCATAGATAATTATATGATAAAGATTTTTATTTGATGATATCATTTGAGATGGAAAAATGTGGAAAATATACTGACGTTTGTATTCCTAACTCACTGAAAACAGTATCATAGCCAGGATGTTCTACAGGGAGGGATATGGGTCACTAAAGGAAGAGATGCACACCAACAGTGGTGGAAAACGCGACAAAAGAAATACAAAACGCTTGAATATTTACTGCAGCCAATAAGCGCGATCGTTAGAATTCAAAACTAAGAGCGAAGGACATATATCCCGGCACACTGAAGACAATCCTCGTCGCTGGATAGCAGAAGCTAGCATGCCTCCTCGATATCTAAAAAATAGAATCAAGGGCATTATGCTGTGATGTTTGTCAGCTGAAGACTAGTGGAAGTTCCGAAAAAACTGTCCAGACGTTTGATCAGGGAAGCAAGTAAACTAATTATTAGTTCCATACATATTTTTCTTGTATTTTCACGCACGTCACGTGCCGGTTTACATATTGAAATGATTCTTTTAGAATTGGAATTTATAAGCTGGAATTATTTGACATTTCTCATTTTGTCGTTGTTATTTTCGAGAAGTTTTGTACACATCACTGTCACTTAATTCTCTCTGAAAATTAGCAAAATATATAGGTCGCTTAAAATGCGTTGCGGACTGTACGGTTCACGCATGCTCATCATTGGCAATTCTCAGACTATATGAATCTTTACTTTCAGGAAGATCAAGGTGTTTCTAGTGGGGGAAGTGCAAATTTACGAGGAAAACAATTCAAGAAAACGAACGTAGAAAAGGTTATTACAAACGTCTGACGGTCGTCAGCCAATCAGAGCGCGCGTTATATATCAAAAATTTTATAAAAGCCGATAAAACACGTCTTGTAGTGCAACAAGCTAGACAAGAGGAGAGTTTGCGAAGGAGACTACATGACCCAAGAGTTCTCTATGAATAGAGAACAAAACCACCGGTACATGTCAGTCATTGGTTAAGACTAATACTATAATCAGAACAGTACTTTGTCATCTTCATCCATCATGGCGACTATGACGTAGCGTGTTCCTCACGAAACTCTATTTGTCATGATTAAAAAGGGTAGATTAAGTAAACTAATATCAATTTGACTTGCTTTTTTCTAGCTGAACTACATCATCTCGTGGGTTATTCTCAATTTTAAGATTCAGTAGAAAGTCGTAAATTTTCTCTTGGAACAAGCCWGCGAGGAACCAAAATGGTGCATACTCCAAAGCAATTAGACCCATGACGTCAAAATAATAATGAGAGTAGTCCCAGGTACAYGCGGAAAATTGCCTYAAAAGGAGTCCGCTGAAGAACTCCCAAGTGTACGCCATCTTAAGATAGACSARGCCACGAAGAAACACCGCTAGGTTGTTTTTAATTCTAAGAAAGACTCTCTCGCCGCAGTAACTGCATGTTCCGTAGATAAAGAAGGACCACACAGAGGTGTATCCTTGGAATTTGAAATCACTGAAATTTGAAGCAACAAAGTCCCAAGTGGAAGAGAATAAAATCTCATAGGTCATTCCCAGCATGCCGTAGAATAGTAACCGATGAAAAGAGTTGAGAGCCATTTTGCAGGATTGGTGATGAATATCTGTACTTTCGGTTGTAGTTCGCGTGACTAAGAAAGAAAAAAGGTTAGAGTTTGTTTGAAACTATCTATATTTTCTAATCTAGATTTTTTTATAGTGTAATTTACTGACATGATCTGAGCCAGGATTTTCYAAGGGGAGGGGGTCTATGTCAATCAAGGAAGAGAGACACAACCCCCAAAAATGGTCACAAACGCGACAAAATAGAGGTTGAAGGGCACAATGTCTCAGGCCGAGGGTATACAGCCCCTGGACCCACACTGAGCTAGAACTGCCCCTGACAAAAAAGAACATATATACAGCCTACTATCGCAGCGGACACCTTTGCTATTAGTATTCTCTGCTCATGACGTTTCATTTGTAATTTGCCTCATTTTCAATGACAAGACTGATGCAGACTGGATAAGGTGATATAGATATGCATGGAAATAAAAATTATTGAAAATCAGTCAAAGCTAAGTCCTGATAAAATCAAAATGTCGCGATTGTTTGTATCCCGCTTTCCACTTCCATTTTGTTTTTGTTCGCCTTGTCTCGTTCTCTTGAACAAACATTGCTTGTTTAATTCGAAGTGGAAATTATGACATCTCGAGACACTTAGCTGTTACCAATTAGCGCTATTTAGTACTTATCGTTAGTACGCTCTTCACTGAGTTTTCTKGAGAGGGTTAATAAGATTAGCATGTACCAGAAAATCTACAGTGATTGCGCTAAAAATGCATGCACGCGGGTCATGACGGGAATTTAGACAGAAGCCCACGCCCAAGTACTAGTTTTCATTATTCAGGATAAGACAATAAGAATAAGAAAAAAAGAAAAAAGTGCTCCCTAGATAATACAACGAAGGAGAAAGAGGAGCAAGACGCTTATTGTCTTTTGAAAATCACTGAACAAAGAGAGAAGGGTCGAAGGCTACTTGAAAGCGATGGACCGAAATGAAAAAGGAGAGGCACGAACTTCCTGTAGTGTCCTTCCTTCCCCGCTTCCTTCGCTATTCGTTGATTGATTCTTACTTGACTGGGACAGCTCTATTTCACGAATAACCCGAATTTTTCCTTTTCTGWTTACCAGCTTACGCTTTTTCTTGTGCAAAGGCCGTTAAAGTCCTCTGTTATGCTGTTATTTTGCTTTTCCACAAATTGAAAGCCATGCAATTTAATCGCAAAATTGCCTTTTCCAGGATATTGATCATCATCATWACTTTACTGATTGTCACCACCATTATCACACATGAAAGTCATTCCGCCATTGGCTTTCGTTACATCCATTAATTTTTTACGATTTTTATATCAAAAAGCGTTGGTATTGGTGCCCTTAGACAATGAAGTGAGTCCACATTAGCCAAAATAAAAATATTTCATTTTTGAGTTTAATAAAGTTTTTGCTAGAGAAACATAGCAATATCATAATGAAGCTACCTAGCAACATAATCGTCTTACTGGAATAAAAATCTTTTTTAATACTTTATAGAAAACTGGTTTATTACGAAAATATGGACGCATATTCTGTCGTGGAAGCAAACTCGCACGAATTAAAATTACAGTCCCTTAATCCTTTGAAAGAAGGCCAAGCTCAGATGATCCATGTTAACTCTGATCTTTCCAATCTCTTCACGACAAAGCCATTTGAACTCTTTTTGTCTAGCTCCAAAGGGTTACATCAATTCGAACGTGTTCGATCATTGGAAGCAATTAAATTAATTCTCCAACCCGGAATATTTTTAAGAGGAAATCTTTTTTTAGATCTTGTTTTAGCGCGGCTAGACATCAATTGAAACTTCTACCGTGAAGTGACACAAAGATTCGGATCAAACCACAATATTTGAATTTGAAATCAATCGAATAATTTTTGAACAACCCCTCAAAAATGTTTWACTTATAATTGCTGTAAAGTTTATTTGTTGCTRAAAATTTTACCATCATCTTGCCTACTAGTTGAGTGTRATATTTCAACTCCTACTCGGCTCGCAAAAACATTTWAAGCATTGAAAATTCAATATATATCTACCAATATTTTTGAAGTGTTGTCCTCTGTGATGTAATCCGCCACAAAATGTCAACTTTAGAAATCACTTTTCATCGCATCAACGTCCGATAATTCWTTTTTCAAAAAAATTATGTCATCTTTCAGAAAGCAAATTTTATAAATAGTGAGTAGTATATTTAAACCAAGTTAACATAATACATTATTTAACATTTTCAACAAGAATTACTTTACACCATGAACGGGAAATAAAAAAGAGAACATTGTTCTGTAATTTACCTTTTTAAGTGTCGGATTAAAGCARATTTATTGTGCTTTAGAGCTGTTTAGATTATTTTCCAGTTTTCCCAGACGGGTGATCTCTTTAGACTCAAAAGGATATGTTTTTACCCGTCGCGCAGCCCGTGGTTTTCGAGTTCAATGATTGACTGGACGAGTAAYAAGTCTCCAAGTGCCTCCAATTGAAATGAGAGTTTTAAACACGTGACTGATCGGTCGCYTTGAAGCATTTCAAGCACACAGACTTTTAAGTCAAGACTCTACTGAAGAGAGGGCGTTCTTTTTGACTTTAAATTTATTACCAATCATTCTTAATGAAAAAACCTATTACCTTTCGCTTATTCTTTATTTTCCGATTTATTTTTTCCTTTCGTAAAATAATTTTTTTSACGTCTTTACTRCCACTGACGAAACTCTAAAATAATTCAAATTCATTTTTCAACAACACCAAATATATAATTCAAAAATTTACCAAATATTGCTTCAAAGAAAATTCATAAATTATTTATTTTGAACCATAATAYCTCATCAATCAGTGGATATTTCTCCAAAAAAATGACTGATAATTTTCTTTTTTAATCCGAAGACAAAACGACCCCAAAAGTACTAAAAGTAGGAAATTCCAAATGAAAATCCGTAGAGATATCRGTTCAAACTGCTTATTGTACATCGAACAAATGTATGATCTAGGAATACATGATTTTCATTGGAACTTGTTTTTTACAGAGCTTCCAAGTGAAGCATATATTCGAAAAATTATGCTAACAGCTATTATCTAATAAATTGGGCTACCTGTTTAGTAATTAGTGTCCAGACCTCCACGAAAGTCACAAAAACAAAATGGCGGACGAGATGGAAAGTTTGCTGCAAGAGTTTCGACTTCTAAAATGCTCCTCTTTGCAGCCTTTAGCTGATCGCAGTGAYCCTGTTTATATCACTCATGCAACTGTAGGGTCAGTTAGTACATTAATTTTAGTATGTTTCACATRAATCCATGGAATTTTGTGTSTAAATGACAAATGTTATGAATCTTTTGGTGTGTTTTCCTGGTACGTTTATATTCCTTGTCTTGTYTTTAGGCAAGAAACGAAAGCTCTGGCTACAGGAGGTAAAAGAGTAGCTCTTAGTATTGAAAATGATGACTTAATCATAACAATCGTGTAAAACTACAGTACTTAGCTTGCAACACATCTTTTTAACGGTTGTGGAATCATTGCAGATTGAGATCTCTGAAGGATAATTCAGCCATTTGATAAATCAACACCATCCCTAAAAAGAACGGCCTAAAAATTAATTTAGAAAGTTTGAGAACAATTAGTTGTAAATACGAGAAGCTGTATAAAGATAAAGATTCTCAAATTAACAAAATTTCGCAAAGAAATGTATGGAAAGGCTAAGTACGTACCTATAAACCTTAGACATTTCTTTGTAAATTCTGGTGCTTTTGAAGTGCTGCATCTTCTTAACTTTTCAGCACATTATTCTCGAACTTGTTGAATTTATTATTTCAGGCTGTTCCTTTCCATAGTTTTAATGATTTTTCACTAGCTAYTTGAATTCAAATGCTTGAGATATCTCTATTTTCTGAATTATTGAACAGAGACAAGTGGTGTTATAAGGATCTGTGAACTGGAGAATATGACCCAACAGCAAGTTATATTAGGTATGTTCATAACCCAAATTTTGATATGAGTCCAAAGTTGAGGCTGATACGCTGGTGCAAATCCTAGACAGGATCCTGTAAGATACTGTAGGATCTTTCCTAAACAGGATCCTAGATGTAGGAACAGGATCCTAACTGCAATCTTGGACATGAATATTGAATTTTTTTACGCACGCACAACATTTCTCACACCTTCCTTGTGCCCCCTTCCTATAATACAATGTGGTGTGGCTGTCCATTTATTAACCCCTGCTTGCAACATTGATGCAAGAGGGAGGGGAGGGAGGGGAGGGAGGGGAGGGGGGGGGGAATATTTTCAGTTTATGCACACGACACAGTATTTGTAATGAACAAGCAAAAAATTATCAAGTATTATTGTCCAAGATTGTAGGATCCTGAGAAGGATCCTGCATAGGAATAGGATCTTACAAAGCATCACATTCTTATGTAAGATCCTAAGTAGGAATAGGATCCTAAACAGGATCGTGTAGGATCTTGAATAGGATCTTATACAGGAACCTGACAAGATCCATATAGGTCTCAGTAGATTTGGTGATATTACCTTTTTTGTGATCTGACAACTTTATTTCAATTACATGAAGGTAATGTATATAACCATTCGTGTTTGTGTACTATTACAAATCTAGCTCACAAAGAATGTGTCACTGGGCTAGAGTTTTCAAGAGCAAATGAAAAACTGCTCTGGTCAACATCATCATCTTGTCCTGTGATAAGGTGAGAAAATTTGTATGAATTGTATGTTAAACTGTATGAATTTACTTCTCTGATCTTAAGGCATATTTGTGGCCTTTATTCCTTCATATAATGTCAAAGCCATTATTGCTAGTGCAAGCCTTGCATTCTGATTATTGCATTGATGGACTGAAATGTGACATTCCCACCATGCTTCAAAATGGTAATAATGATGGCAAATAATAATGATGATTATGATTATGATAATTCATACAGTTTTTAGAGTTTTTCTATTGGTATTTGAATGGAAATATTTACCCGTAATAAGAAAAGTAATGGGAAATTGCTGATACAAGAATTAGTCCAAAATTGAAGTACATTGTTTACAAAAGTATTCATGACAATTGCCATCACATTGTCTGACACCTTTTTATTTGTAGTTGCTGGGACCTGCGAGAAAGTTGCTCAAAACCTGTCCAGAAACTAACAAGTAAGTGATATGGAATTCTTTTTTCTATTTCCGGAAGCCATTTTTGAGTGCAATACATGTAGTAGGGTGTTAAAGAGAAAGTGACAGCTGTCATTTCTGACACATAAAACCATTAGATATTAGTCTATGTTTTATTCTGAACTAGATATTTTTTTATCCTACATGTAGGTCCAAACKCAACTTGCTATACATGCTGTGGTGTTGGTTGTCAAGGTGATATTGTTGCTGGGGCAACAGAGCCTAGTGAAGATGATGTCTGTTTATATGTTTGGTATTTTATGATTGACTTTTTTACCTAACTTCTCATGCTGTTACAAGTAGTGTTTTCTTTCTCTCTCTCTTCTCTAGAAGGAGTATCTATAATGTAGTATTATTAAAATGCCAACAACATACAGTAAACTCTTGATATAGTGGACACTTTCAGGATTATGACCTTTACGTGTCCACAATAGCCAATGTGTGCTGTAAGTTATTTTTTTCAGTGATTTCTTTGGAGCAGGGATTTGTATATTACAAAATAGGTGTCTGTAATATTTGAATGTAGTAAATGACAATGTGTCTCACAAAGCAATAGTTCACTGTTGCAAATGTTAGAGTAATAGGAATGACACTTCAGAATAGATCTTGAACCCTTGTGCGTTAAATACTTGCTACATGTAATGGCAAAAAAATCAAATTATATTTTTAAAATGACAAAATATTAGTGAAAGTACATTGTAAATTGCCAAATAACAGCCTTTGTTTATAGGGATGTACGGAGTCCTGATCCATTTTTTACAAGTATTTTCACTGATTCGCACAAAGAAGATATAACACAGGTAAACATTACTAATACTACTTTGTTTATATTAATTTTTTTTTATGTGATTTAATTATTTGATTATAATTTCAGATTAAATTTCATCCAGGAAAATCAAAACAGATGGCTTCATGCTCTACAGTAAGTACTGCATTTGACAAGTAAACATAATAGGGATACCTGTGTATTCTATTTACACAGGAAGCCCTAATCAACAAATTRCAAAATTATATGTACAATACATGTAAATTATGACATGTTTCAGGATGGGTTAATATGCATATATGACGTGTCTCACACCCAAGAAGAAGATGCACTGGAATTAGTGCTCAACTCTGGTTCTTCTGTGGTAAGCCCTTGTTAAACTACATGTAGGCTGGATACAAGTACTTAAAAGGGTGGCTAAAAGAGGGATTTTTGTCAAATTCAAAATAGATCAGCAAAAGCATCCATCATGGTTGAGAGGGAACCCATTTAAATGCTGCTATTGGCAACATTGTAGCATTTGATCATTTTTTCGCTTATTCTAAATACCACCATTCTGCAAGGCAAATATATTTTCAAGACAGTTTGCTTGAGTAACCCACACATCCATTGTTTGGGATCACTGTGCTCTCTATCCACAGGGGCCCCCAAAGACATCAGCAAAGGTAGCCTGCGTAGCCAGGTGTTCCTAGCCGCTCCGAAAAAGTTTGGGCCGGAGAAACCCAGAAGGGAACCTTGCCCTCAACTTCAACAAATTTGAAAAATCCGTTAGTCCAAGAGCGGGCGCTTCTCATAGTGATTGACAGCTGTTATAACATCTTTGACGAACATGTTTTAGAATGTCAAGAGTTTATCAAACTAATCCAATCTTGTCGACAGATACAGATGTTATTCATCTAGTCACTTAATTTATAAAGCAGATCAATTTAAAGCTAAGAAAATCATTGGTATTTTGAAAGAACTATATTTTGTGATTAGATAAATATCAAATAAAGTACTGTTATTATCTGCAGACAAGAGTTCCCTTCTGGATTTCTCTGGCCTAAACTCTCGGAGCGGCTAGGAACGTGTGGCTATGCAGGCTACAGCAAAGAAAACCTGCTTTTAAGCATTAAAATGCTTATCTTTATTTTTTCAGGGTCAAATTGGTTTCTATGGTGAAAACTATAATAAACTATATTGTATAACCCATATTGAGACACTTCAATTATGGGATATCGATAAGGTGAGTGGACCTGGGTAAAGCCAACAGATGTTGTACAATATTATTCATAAGGCTTTTTTTGAAGAGGATATGCAAATTCCAGTATAATTAATTTCTCTGAGCAATATGATTAATAATTATTGCCTACTCAATAACTGCATTCATTGCTACAATGTACACAAGGTATTTATCATTATTGACCATTTTCGATCATTCCCATGAGATTCAAAAGATAAAAGACTGGCGGCCATGCTATTTTCCTATTGCTTATATTTATCAATATTTTTCTCACAAACAGGCATCTTTAGTTGTTCATCATTCTGACATCCGCAATTCTGACAGAGTAAGTTGATGACTAGAAATAAAAGTATTTCTTATTTAAGTAATAAAGGGTGGTATGGAGTCAGACAATAGAAACACCTGCTATTTCTCCATTTTGATAACAAATTACAGCAAATCTTTTATCATATCCATACATGTGCCCTTGAAAGCATGCACTGACTGTATTTACTGGCAAAACAGTGCAAGTTTATGCATGCTCTTTGACCAATAAGACAACATGGCTGCGTGATTGAGAAGAGAAGAGTTAAAATGAAATGTGCCATTGCGCCGCCTACATTTATTGAACTCCTCCCTGAACTTCTGTCGACACAAACGAATATGAACACCTAAATACAGCTCCCCCTGATTTTCTCGACAGTTGCTTTGGCGCACTTTGAAAATTGACAGATTTATGTGACCTCGCCAAAATAGTTATTTAGTTAACTAAGGTTTTCACAGTTTGACTAAAAGCACTCTAAATATGGAACATCAGCAATATTGTTGTGCTTTAGATATATTGTGGGATATATCAATAATAGTTCTTTTAATGTTCAGGGTGCGCAGGCCGTACAATATCTCATCAACTGTTTCTATCAACAAATTCTTGACAAGCTCTATTTAGTGGCTGGTAGACACAGGTAGGTAACTTATTAAAAAAGGCGCTAGTTTCATCTTGACATTTGACAGATTAGTCATAAATGAACACAGGATAGGTGAGGTGATGAAATAGGCAGAGCAAATTTTATCCCAGAGAGGTTCCAAGGGTCTTTCTCCTTAGCATTATAACTTTCCTTTATTTCTCTATCAGAGCAAAATATAAGTTTGGGTGGGTGGTTGTTCTTTCGCGACTACTTGTTTGTTATTCAATATATTTATAATGTTAAAATGATATAAGCCATCAGTCTTGGCAGTCTCATGCAGTTCCATAAAGTAACGGTGCATATAAATCTTTTGCTATGACAAGGAAACACACTATAGAGCATCTAGAATTCTAGTCCAGAACTGGACCCTCTTTTCTCAATTACTATAGATAATATTCTATGTAAAAGTTAAAAATCCAAAGCACTCGCTACAGAAAATTGAGAAAAGTGGGTCCAGAGAAATTTGTCAGCGCATGTGACCGTTGAGAACGCTGATTCAAAATAATAGTTTTCAACTCCGCGCGCGCATGGATAAAAGAGGGTCCAGTTCTGGACTACTAGAATTCCTGATCACGTATACTGACTGAAATATTCTAGTAGTTGAAAAATCAAAATAGTTGAATGTTTTACAAAGAATTCATAGTTTTGATAAAAAGGGTTTTTTGGTTCAGTGATATACTGAGAAAAACCAATACAACATGTACATTCAAAAAACGCCAATAAGTAGCTTAATTAGATTACAATAAATCGTTTTGCACAATTCTTGTCGGTTTTTTAAAATGTGTTGACAGACAGGATGGTTAACATCATATGTATGTACAGCAATGGCAAGCGCTCTTTCCATGCAGCTATTTGCTTCCCAGTACTGTCTCAGATCAATAAACGCCAAACCAAGGTCATTTAAGTGCTGAGCTAATATTGGATGGTTTTCATCATAAACACGTTCGTCTATAGCAACTGCTCTTTCAATGCACTTCTTGGCTTCCTTATGCTGTCTGAGGTCTCGTAGTACCATACCAAGGTTGTTTAAATGTATGGCTAATACTGGATGGTTTTCATCATAAACACGTTCGTCTATAGCAACTGCTCTTTCAATGCACTTCTTGGCTTCCTTATGCTGTCTGAGGTCTCGTAGTACCATACCAAGGTTGTTTAAATGTATGGCTAATACTGGATGGTTTTCATCATAAACACGTTCGTCTATAGCAACTGACCTTTCCATTAATCTCTTTGCTTCCTCATACTGTCTGAGGTCTTGTAGTACAGAACCGAGGTTGTTTAAATCTATGGCTAATGCTGGATGGTTTTCATCATATATACGTTCGTCAATAGCAAGTGCTCTTTCCAAAAACTTCTTTGCTTCCTCATACTGTCTGAGGTCTCGTAGTACAGAACCGAGGTTGTTTAAATGTATGGCTAATATTGGATGGTTTTCATCATAAACACGTTCGTCTATAGCAACTGACCTGTCCATTAATTTCTTTGCTTCCTCATACTGTCTGAGCTTTTGTAGTACAGACCCAAGGTTATTTAAATGTTTGGCTAATGTTGGATGGTTTTCATCATAAACACGTTCGTCAATAGCAAGTGCTCTTTCCAAACACTTCTTTGCTTCCTCATACTGTCTGAGATTTTTAAACACCAAACTGAGATTATTCAACTGTATGGCTAATGTTGGATGGTTGTCGACATGCATATCTTTGACAACAGCAATTGCTTTAATCAAGTATCTCTTTGCTTCATCGTGCTGTCTGAGGGCATTTAGCACATTGCCAAGATTGCCATAGTATGTTGATAAATAGGGACTATTTTCGTCATAACGTGATACCACCGAAATTGCCTTTCGTAAGTATTCTTCAGCTGCGTGGTGTTCTCCTAATTCTTGTAGAACTATTGCAAGGTCATTATATCTCTCAGATAAAAATGGGTGATTATCACCATACTTCGTCCTGTCAATGGAGAGTGCTCTTTCAATAAATTGCTTTGCTTCTTTGTAATTGCAAAGATTAAAGTATACCATTGCAATATTGTTCAATATTCGCCCTGCAAATGGAATATCTAGTGTCGACTTTTCAAGGACTGCAAGTGCTTCTTTCAAATATCGCTCAGCTTCCTGTTTTACTCTCACGTCGTTGGAAAGTGTTTTCCCAAGGTTTGTCAGTGCTCGCAGGTGTAAACCAACATTTTCTTTTATATCGTCAAAATCACAAGAGCGGCGTCCAAGTGCTTGTTGAAGGCATAATTTGGATCCTTTAAAATCTCCAAGTTCGTAAAGAATCTCCCCAAGAATATTACGTTCTACTAAATGGTCCCCTTCAATACAGAAAGCTTCTTTGATTTCGATGGACATTTCAAGATAACTTTTCGCTTCTTTCAGTTGGCCATTCATGTAACATAGTTTACCGATACAGCACGAGAGACATTTTGCTACTAAAAGTGCTTGCTCTTTAGTTAAGGTCATGAATAATCGAAGATTTGGAAAAATGGCTCCTTGCAAACTAACAAAGTGTGGAAYGAGACTCTTGGTAGACATTACATATTCTTKACCCGGTTCTTCATTATCATTAGTAGCTAGATCGGAAAATGATGTAAGTATGTTTGCMAAACTCAGRCAATTGCCCTCAACCGTTGGTCTTACATTGSTTTGCAGTACACCRTGCACAATTTGRTGTACRCGGACATCTTGRCAATCATCAGAAATGAGAATGAGAGAAGAGCGTGCAATGCGAGCTTCTATCAACTCTTCATCTTCCTCAGGCATGCTCAAAAGAACATATCTAGTAACGTACYTGATCGGCACTGGTTCCTGGGCAAGCACCGACAATATCTGAAATGCAAACCTCATGATTGTATCTTCTTTGACCACTCTATCTAAAGCCATYTTCACAGCTGTTGTCATCGATTGTGAATAGACCTGGCTACTTGTATCGAGGAACGGTTTTTCAGTTTGTTCGCGTTTCCCTTCTGTGATCTTTGTAARGCACTTGKACCAAGTGAAGGAYGAACCACATTTGCTYACTAACTTAACGTAGASTGCAGTACAGGCGAGGGCAAGTGGTTGAAAATCGAGTGCTCTTGCAATTTCRAGGACCACKTCTTCATTACYTTGAATTTGCTGGTCTGAGATAGTGCAAAGACTACGAACAGCGTCATCAGGCTTCATTCCTTCACTTAGTGATTGATGGTGAATTTTATGACTTGCTAGAGGAATTGAATGACTGTCTTGTGTAGTCACTAAAACTTGTGCTCTTCCTGTTACCCTCTGACCCAAAAGAGGGAAAAAACGTGACGCCTTTTTAAGATCGACCACATTATCCACTATCATTAACCACGAAGAGAACAATGCCAATTTTGRATTTAYAAGTGCCATTAASTYCATAACTTTGTCCTCTGGTGGTGAATCAGCTTTTAGGGTTACAATACTTTGGATGTAATCTTCGTTGACTCGCAGTAGGCGGGCGAAGTTAGTGTACGACCTTAGCAGTGCGTCAGGGCTTGCGGCATTAAGTGTAGCAACGAATGTATATGACGAAAYGCTCGCACTGTTTTCATCAAAAACCTTTTCGCCAATTTGTCTTGCTGTTTCACTTTTTCCACAGCCTGGATTTCCTGACAGGTAGACATGGGTCACCTCATTTGGATGGAGACCTTTTAAATRCTGCATCTCGTTCATTATTGTGTCCACCTCGGTTGAGCGTGGGGTGACCATATGTGAGGGCATAGGTGGCAAGTCACAAAATGTCTGTGGCTCCTGGTTACGTCTTTTCTCTTTATCCAGCTGTTCHTGGATTTTCTGGAGCTCATCCGTATTAAAACGTCTTTGAGATTTGAGTTTTTTAACAACATTTGTGTCGAGTTTTAAATCATCAAATGCGTTGATTACATCTTGTATCGAGGCSTGGAAATCTGKATCGGTYACTTTGCTYTGATGRTAATGAGCATATTTGTTACGATACTGTCGTAGATTATCTACAGCTTTCTTTACTTTTGGGTCAAGCTTATTCCTTCCAATGCAKTTGGAATAAAGGATTGCGTAAAACAGACATGTGCAGTCCCATTCCACTCTATTTCCATTTCTGATAATGGAAAGTTCTTTTACTTTCGATGTTTGCTCTTTTGGTGGTATCAAGCTGTAGAARTCARCGCCATTTTTTGCAGTGTCGTTCCATTCATCATGTGATGTCTGATAGCGAGCATCCCATTCTCGTTTAAACACTTTACGAAGACCATCAGGAATTACTTGAGCTGTTACGTGACAAGTTCGAAAATAGTTCAACTGTTCTGGAGAAAATTTGTCGGGATCTGCCATAGCAATCTACATGAATGAATTCAGGAAGAGAGAACTCATTAGAAATAGGCAATTGCATGATGGCTATATATACTACCAAATGTAATATCCATTTTGTTTTGTTGTTTAATTAATCCCCAACAGAGTGCTCTTCGTATTTAATTGACATTCGKATTTTTTCTGAATATTCTGGAGAGWAGTAAAAAAATTGCATCATAAAAGAAAGTGGGCAATGCATTCTGGTCTTGGTAGCATGTGAAGTTTTAAACAGTAATTGAGTCAGTGACGTACCTTTCAAATTCCTTTTCAGTTTGCTTTTCTCTCCATGACTTTATCGACGTCTTGCCGTCGTGCTAAGAAATTAATTTCTGCAACAACATGATTGATATCAATTATTCTTCAGGATATTTACGTGGAGAGAGGGTGTTTTYGATACTTCCTTAATTAGGGAATAAGMATAGCCGCCGTTTCTTATACACCTATTTCAAAAAACGTTGTCGTCGCCAGGACACAATCCACGGTCTTGAGACTGCAAAGAATCTCGGGATTACCATAAATAATTAGAGTTCTGGTTTAAAACCAAGCAGCATATTCTTTTGTTTTATTGATAGCCAGAGAAAACGCATGGAATTTGAAAAGAGAGACAATAGAATTGATTTGAAATCTCACACTTTTATTCTCACAATTACAAATATATTGCGCACAAATGAGGCTAACACAGAGCATTGGAGAATTCGAAACTGGAATACTCTCGGTCTCGAAGCGAATATTAGTCTCTTCATTAACAGCCGCGGGCGGAAGTCGCGGCTGTTAAAAGAGACTAGGAAACCCCGAGATTCTTTGCAGGCTTAAGACTGTGGACTSTGTCGTGGTGACGACAACGTTTTTTGAAATAGGTGTATATACCAATCACACTTTGGCAGTTGTAACCTCTGTATAGTGAGCTTTTCRGGCAAACGAGATCCCTGTAGCTTTGATCCGAGGTTACTCTTTTGTTTTGAGTCATTATCATAAGCCGAGTGTATATTCATTCTAATGCTCCTCAGTTGAAATTCATATTTGGTATTTGACAGATTAACGAATTGCAAGTGAAATACCCCATATGAACGACGCCTTAAAGAGCCTTATAGACCCGATGTTACGTTACAGAATGCACCGCTCATCTCAAAATCAGCAATACATTCTAGAACATGACACTGGGACAATATAAGCACTCTGTAGATTTTTGTTTATGGTAGTATATGCCTTGTGTATGTGCATATTGTCTCAGACCATAGTCTTTCCCTGAACAAAGAAAYCCTTTTAGTTGTCTTCGACGATTTTGTAACTTTTTAGATTAACCAGTGAACAAATACCCGTCGACTACAGTGGAGGAAGTGGATTTCATAAATGTGAAACGTCTCTAGTCAAGAGGTTTTTCGAACGTGAAATTACGGCTGACTTTSACTAGCTCAGCCATTGAAGAATCTTGTAAACTCAACATTGTCTACAATAAGATTTACAAATTATTCAACTTATTTTTATACTTTTTGGTATTGAATATTCTTGGGAAAAGTTTGAATTGATTTGAAAYTTTTWTTGTTGTCTAAACAACTTGCGAATAATWTTTYGCGGAAGTGACTGTATTTGCATATATTTATGTGCCTTTCAGCGTTGTGAACCTTGACGATCGATTGGATATCATCTTTTCAGTTTCTTACCTTTATATAAGCGACTTTGTTCGAAGTGTTGAGTATTAAAGTACATTTATTGAACTAATGATATTGAAACCACAAGTCACGCATGAAGCTTCCTGTCTGTTACGCCGTCTKATTAGTTTGCCGCTGATCACGTGAGAATCCAGTTTCTCGAGTGTTCCTTCAGAGCATAGTTAGTAGATCAGAGCTCCAAGAAGCGTGAAGCTAAAATTCCTAATAATTATGTTCCCATCATAAAATGCTATCAGTGTACTTGAAGTGAAAATTAAATAAAATGATCCATGCCTCGYGACCTCAATGACGCACATGACAAAAAAGTATTATAAGACGACACGCTCTTAGAGCGTTTACTCGGGTCAATGTATAAAGAACAAAACATATAACAAGCAATTTAGCTGTATCTGCAACGCATATAAATATAGTATAATTTCCAACAAAAACTAAGGGGAGTCATTATTCAAACTTGCCCAAAAAAGACAATGTCCTCGAGACTGCATCGAAAGCCGGGGAATCGGAAGCTACATAAATACCATATTGATATTCTTGTTATTATTATCATTATTTATTTATTTTATGAACCCCATAAGGATTCTCTTTGTTGAAAAAGACGGTATTATATGAACCCGGAAGATTATTCCAACTTTGAACAGTCACTTGTGTTTAATAGACCGTTATTTAGAGTCATCTATATTGTAGCAACTGGATTATTACYAGCTTAAATGAACTTATTGATTTTAGCTTTGCGTAATAGAACTCGTGTGAAAATATTTTCACATAACAGACGTCGTGGTCGTGCCCCGAGCTTTAAGACGTCGTGGTCGTGGCCCGAGCTTTAAGCGAATCAGAAATGCCCAGGAGAAGATTCATCTCTCACTCAATTTGTTGGTCAAAATGTGTTGGTCAAAATGTCGTTGGTCACCCTGTTTGATGATGTCTGATGATGTTGGTGCTTGGCCACCAAAATATTTGATTAATCATCCAACATCCCACATCGAAGGGTGGCTCTTTTGCCTTGAAGMTTTAAAATTATCGGCATTCGAGCTCTATTGATAGGGTTGTTGCATTCACCATGAGATATCTGATATCGAGAATTCCAAAGTCTACGAATACTTTCACATGTGATCTCATATACCAYGWRGCAAATCTAAAAATGATGCAGTTGATTTTCGCTTGATATAACTTCGCCATCGATATACATTTAAAGTTSCAAGGTTAAAAGTCAYTGAATGGTTTTATACTGGGTTTTGGGTTGTGAAATGTGCCATGAAACGTACAGTGAGTGTTGAATAGATCATATTTTTAAAAAGACTCATGAACTGTATCGAACTGTGTAGGAATTATCGATATAGAGGACCCCACCAACCATCCTCGGGAACCCAGGGGTAATCTTCTGTCGTTCGAACGACAGAAGATTACCCCTGGGTTCCCGAGGATGCCCACCAACTAGCCCTCCATATAATACGTGGTTCTTAAGATAATCAGAGATTCATTCCAATGTTATACTACTTTAATACAACATTTTAACAAAGCTATCGTTTTTAAAATTGGTCACGGTGGTAAAGAAAATATTTATATAAGTAATTTAGAATATAATTGGGAGGAAGGTTTAAAGGGAATAATCTTTTAAAAAGGGTCAATGGCTTCGAGCCTCAAGTACCCTAAATGCTAAATTGATAATAAAACGATTAAAAAAAWTACTATGTGTAAAATTACTAGGACGTGATAATGGTGCTTAATATTTTTTTTAACTGAAAGGGTTAAGGTTAGGTTTGCAATGGCGCTCAGAAATTAATTTTCAGATTTGAAAATACTGAATTAGGGGGGAGGGGTGATTGTTTTTAGTGGGGACTAGGTGTAACACGAATTTGTATCGTTTGGATGGGGATTTGTTGAGTACATTAACATGCATCAAGAAAGAAGCAACAAATCTCTTCTCCATTTTAAGCGAATTATTACCAAATTAAATGGAGAAAATTGAACAAGCCATAGGACAGTATTACCTATGCGAATTGAGGCCGATACACCCTGCAATTGCCAGTTTTCGAATTCGCAACGCAAATTTCAAGTTTTTGTTGGATATTAAAAGCCCTGCACCGTGTATCATGTAAATCAGTTTGCARATGTTAATTCTGTAAATGTSCAAGAGAAATTTTTAATACCTTTTAAATTTTTGCAACATTTTGTTGTGTTGTGAGACATAGTTGTGGRAAGTTTGATAGTGCATGCCAAACTTGTGCACTAGCGCTGGAAACGCGAAAAMTAATTGAACATTCACGGCTTGTTTTATTGTCTTTTTGGACTGAGCGATTGAAATGTCCCAAACAACTTTCAATCATATTTATTAAGYAAGACACAMGTAACMGGCGGTAAGAGGTAAAATGGGCGGCGCTAAAATTGGATTTTGAGTGTATGAGAAAAATTGCTAAGTATCTCTCAATAATAGTATGTTTTCTTTTTTAGTGGTGACCTTCAAGTGTTTGACGTCACTGAAGAGAATGTTACCAGAGTGTGTACATTATCAGGGGGTCACAATGCCACTGTTAGGTGTCTGGAGTGGTACTTAAAGGTAATTATTATAGATTATTAAATTAAAGGTAATTATTATAGATTATTAATTAAAGGTAATTATTATGGATTATTAAATTAAAGGTATTTATTATAGATTATTAAAGGTAATTATTATAGATTGTTTAAAATAGTTATAATGAATTGAATGATAAAATAAAAGAAACGACAAATGATGAAATAAAATGATTTGAATGATTCTAATAATAACCATGAATTTTACTTATAATATTTCAAATGCACTCATTTATATTATCGTTTGTATACTCATTTGTAATTGGSCAAGTCYTCCAGTCAGTACTTTCCAAGCGCCATCTTGAAAGGTAGCCGAGCCTTTGTATCAAAAGCGAGACCGTGAATGAGYTTGATACCTGTAAATAGTAATTGGCATTAATATTAAACGTATTTACTACTCCATAGCTGGCTCAACTTCTGCAAACGTAAAACACAAACAGTTGTCAGTAGTGACGTCAAAGCGCGAGTTCTTAGGAATGCATAAAGTTAAGCCCATTCATTGAAACATGAAATTATCAAGTTTACGAAATGGAGAAAYATAGGTATTTCGTAGATAATTATATGATAAAAAGTGGTAATCATAATAGCAATAACATCAACAACCATATAATTTATTGATGTTGGTAATTTTAAGTAGTAATAACAGCACTACAACGATAAAAAATGCTTTAGATAGATCTGGAAAAAATAAATTAAGTCCAGAGCTTCAACAAATGAACAAAGGAAGTCATCATGACRTTTTAAAGATTTTTAAATTTGATGMTTTTGTTTACTGGGCTTTGCATCGCGTGCTGGCGGTAAATTCCTGCCGATAACATCGCACCGCCTTTTTTTAGGGGCGGCGGGCGGCGACTAAATTCCTCAACAGGACATAAGAGTTTGCTCTGTTTCACGTGTATGCCACATGTTTTACAAATTGCGGCTCGTCTGTTGTGGGTGCACTGTTATGATCTTGGACAGACCTCCCATTTAGACGTATCAAAACAAAGAAAACTGGCACTTAACTTTATTCTAGTAAGCGCTAAAAATCAGCATTTATTTTTGGGATCAAAGATTCCCRAGGAAGGGATGGCTGTTTGGGATCAAGTTCAAGTGAGAGATCATTTGAGTTAAGCTAATAGCAGGGATCAAAATATTAAAGAACTTTGTGATCAGGAATTATATMATTTGATCTTATAGGGTAAAGGATATTTAAAGAAATGCTAAGCGAATTTTTGAAAAGTCCATGCAAAATCCGGAAARCAAGCACTTTAACTGATGTTTTCAAAATGATCTTCCAAATTCTAAGATTACTGTACTCTTTGCTGATCGATTCATTTGATATTTTCATTAGATGATTTGTTTTCTTTTATAAAGGATGAACAAATTGTGACAGGAGGAGAAGATTCGACAGTTTGTTTCTGGAAAGCCTGTCAGGGCTTGTCAGCTCTAGACAACGCAACTTCCTCCGAATCCAAACAGGATAGTCAGCASTCTACCGGGAAAATGGGAAAGGTATGGCGCGAAATCAAAAACTGGGCTAGATAGTTCAATGCCAATCCTGGGCGGGTAACATTTAATAATCCTATGTAGTCAACCCTGGATTAACGTTATCAGGCTTTGAAGAACCACAACTCTATTACCCTTGTCCACCTTAACGAAGGCTGGCTGATGTTATCCATGCATTTACTGTAGATTTTATGCGCTTTACAAGGATCGTGAAAGATTGGATGAGAATGAGTCAGATGCATTCAATCGTGATTACTCCAAGCGGGTTCTGCGACGTTAGATTTCATGTTTTCATATCAGTATCCACAGACATTGCTTACCGACCTTCTTCTCTAAAAAAGTTAGAAGTATTCTAGTGTACAATGATTAAAAAATGGCCTTGTCTCATTGTTCTCGCTACGCTCGTCTTTCCAAGCTGCTTCTTTTGAGGTGTCTTTATCAGAGGATATAAACTCTGTACTAGACCAAACCAATATGAAAGTGTCATATATTTTCAGTGTTGAATGTTAAAAGTAACGCTCTCTGTGATTGGGCGAGGAATGTTCCATATAACGAACGCTCTGATTGGATGGAGTGTGTCCACAACAGCTAATATTGTTTCTGTGTGTTTGAATAGACACCTAAAGTGACTGGAAAAAGGGGGAACATAAAGCCATACTCGAGACCAGCGGTTCACAG